GAGAGAAAAATAAAGTAGTAAGAAGCTATACTGAAGTCAGAGAGGGTAATATTTAAAAGAGTGATCAGAGAAGACCTCACTGAGAAAGTATCATTTGTGTGGATATTAAAAGATGGTGATGGAGTAAGCTATGCAAATATGTGGAGAAGAACATTCTAGACAGAAAGAACAGTAAGTACCAAGATCCCGAGTATAGGGTCTATATCTTATAAAGCCTTGAGGCCCTTCTTTGGACTTTATGCTGAGTAATGTAAGAAGCTATTGGAGGATTTGAACAGAGCGGTGTCATGATATGACCTGTTTTCACATGGTAATTCTGGCTGCTGTGTTGAAATTTACATGGGGGAGTGGGTTGGGAAGTATAAGGAGACAAGCTGAGATACAAGTTGGAGGATGTTGCAATAATTCAGGACCAGAGTGATAGCTGTGGAAGTGGTAAGAAGCAGTCAGATTCTGGACATATTCTGAAATTAGAGCCTGATATGGTGTGAGTAAGAGAGGAGCCAAGAATGATTCCAATATTTTGTGTGTGTGTGTGTGTGTGTGTGTGTGTGTGTGCCACTAGAAGGATAGAATTACAACTTACTGAGATGGAGAAAACTACAAGAGGAGAGGTTTGGGAAGGGAAGATGAAAAGAACAGCTTGGAAAGTGTTAAGTATGAGATGCCCAGTACATATCTAAAGGGAGATGGTGAACAGGCAATGGAAATATCTAGAGCTCAGGAGTAAAGTCCTGGCCAGAGATAAAAATTTTGGAATTATTAACATACAGATGTTATGAGACATGAGAATAGATAAGATCACCAAAATACAATGGTTGAATCCTGCGTATGTCATGGAATAAGTGGAAATGACTCAAAAAATTGTCATGGAATATGTAGGAGTGGAATCCTGAGACACTCCAATTAAGAGGCCAAAGATACATAAAGGATTTAGTAAATGTGGTGGAAATAGAGTAGCTGGTGAGTCAAGAAGAAAACCACAAAGGATGGTGTCCTGGAAAGTATTTCCAGGAAAGGGAACAATCAGCTCTGAAAAATGCTGCTAATAGTTTAAATCAGATGAAGATCATTATGTGTAGCATTTAGGTAATTTATGACTTAGGCAAGAGTAGTTGGAGTGGAGAGTTGGGGGCAAAAACTTGATTGGAGTGTACTTCAGGGAAAATGTGAGGAAAAGAATGGAAAACAATAATTATAGATAAGACTTTTGAGAAGTTTTTTTTTTTCCTGTAAAAATAGCACAGAAATAGGGCAGTACCTGGAAAGTCAATGGGATCAAAAAAGGGATTTTTGAGGATGGAAAAGTGACAGCACGTTTATATGCTGATGGGAATATTTCTTTAGAAAGGGAAAATTGATATCCTTGGGAACACAAGGAGAGGATGCAATCCGGTGCACAAGTGGAGGCTGGCCTTAGAGCATGGACAGATCACCAAGGCAGAATATGTGGTACTGATGCTACAGGTAGATAGATGTGGTGGAAGGAGCTTTTGGAAGTTTTGTTCTTCATTTTTGTCAGTGAAATAGTCATCAGTTGAAGGTGAGGACAGGAAAGAGTGTGAGTTTTGAGAAGAGAGATGAAGGTAGAAAATAGATAGAAAGAAAGATGACATGGATTAGGAAAATGCAACATGATACCTAGGCAAAACGAAAGGACCATTTGAGCATAAATTTAAAGTCAACATGGTTGAGGGTTTTTCTTCAACTGCATTCAGCAGCATGGATGAATAGACAGAGTAGTCTGAGAGTTGGATTTAATCAAGGTTGTGGTTTTGTCAAGCAGTTAAAATGAAGCAAGAGTCACAAATGGCTTGAAGACATATGGAAGAAAGTGATTACCATGACCATTAAATTTAACTCAGATATGGACGGAAATGAAGACAAGAAAGGAACAGTGAAATCTCTGGTGGAGTCAATCAATGGATTATAGATCTTGGTCAGTGGAAGCATTGTTGCATCCAGGGTACTACAGAGTGTGAGCTGAAAAGATAAATAGTGGTAATCCAATCCTTAAAACTGGTATTATGGATAAATTGCAGTTTTTGGTGTGACAAGGTCTAGGATATGTCGGTGTGTAGAGTGAGTAGAAGCAAGGTCATTGGAGAAGAGAAGGTTAAAAAAATCAAGGAGCCAGAGAATTAGAAGGATTCTCTTCATCGTCATTGAAATCACCAATAATTATGATAGCAGTAATATTGTAAGAGATTGGCTTTGAACCAAGAGCTAAAACTGTCACGGAATAAGTGGGAGTGATTCAAGGATTTGTAGATGATTCTAACAAGAATAAGGATAAGTGATAGTCTTTTGATATGAGATTCAAAACTATAGATTCTGAGGGAAGAGAGTGTGAAAATGGAAAGGAAGTAGCAAAGTAAGGCAAGTTGGAAACCAGTCCATCTGGTGTGGAGCAATATGGAGAATAATGCAGCCCCCACTGATCACAGCAGCAGGAGAGGCAGTGTCTTCAGGGAAGGGGCAGGTGTAACTTAGAGCAAGAAGGTGAAGCGAAAAGAATTCAGAGAAGGTAAAGGGAATTCCACTTGTGATTAACCATGAGCTCCAAAAGCTCGAGCGGGATCTCAGTCCAGGATTGGGAGAGGGATAGGAGATGAGGGGCAAAAACAGGGATGTGCAGAGCCATATGGTGATTAGACAGGAGGTGATGAGAGTGATCAGGGAATCCCTACCTTCTTATGGAGGTGCTTAAAGTCAGGAAGGTGATGACCATAGTAAGATTAATCATGACAATGCCAGGGCTTTAGCATCAGTGGGTAGAGAGAGGCAGGGTTCTTTCCAGGAGTATGCAGTCTCCTGGAGCTGCCTCTTGACCACTGCCAAGGGAGGTGTGGTGAGAAGGCAGAGGGAGGTTTGCTTTAAGCCTGAAGGCACCCTCTTGAAGCATACCTGTGGCACCTAACTGAGAACTCTAGGAATAAAAACTGCTGGAAGAAACTGCTGGACACATGTCTTAGAGATTTTCTTTTTACTCATTTGGTATGAATTAATTGCTTTAAAAATTTATGATACACAAATGTCATACAATGAATCTATTAGGTGTTAAGTATTGAATCTATAACGTGTCAGGTACTGTGTAAAGCACTTTACACACATTATTTAATCTTTACCCCAAGTATTGTCTTCCTACTTCCTGGATGAGGATATTGATGCTCAGAAAGTTGAACTAACCTACTTAAGTCCTTACTGCCAGCAAGTAGCAGAGACAAATTGGCATCAAAGTTTATCAGACTTCAAAGACCATGACATGTCATCAGAACTGTGGGGATTATCTCTGGAATAAAAATCAATAGATTGTTTTCAGCAAATTTTGCAATTCTATTGACCCATTGACCGATGTTAGCATAATATCGATCTTTAAAGAACTGTTGCAATGTCTTTCCTCTGACCACTTTTATTCTTCCACAAATCACACAAGAACTGTCTAATTACTTAAAAAGTCACATAGGGAGAAGGACATGGAAAATGCTCTTTGATCTCTGGCAACATTCCAGAATTTCACCATATAGCTTTAGCTTAGGGATTAGAAGTGTTCTCAGCTAATTTGTATTGTTTTACCTCCATTCTTTTTGTATAGTTGTCTCAAAACAAGATGATGAGTCTTGGGTGGAATGGAAATTTGAAGAAAAAATCTTTAGCATGAGAACATCTAAATTGTATTTCTACTCTCAGTGGAAAGAAAGTTCACAAAAACAACTGAAAATGTTGTCTCTCTCTGCTACAATCGTTCTCAAAATCCGGTGTTATATAAAGACTAACTGAAGTGCTTCTTTAAAAAAATGCATAATCGTTGGTCAACTAAATCAAAATCTCCTGGGTGTGGGGCCTGGACTGCTATGGATTCTGACTCAGCAAAGGACTATTTGGGAGTCTGGGCCCTAATCTTCCTAGCCCCAGGTCTACGTTTCTCAATTCCCCCTAATTGAGAAATTAAGGATTTCCCAACCCTTCTCCCTCTCGACCCTCTCTGGTTCTTGCTGTGATTCCAATACTTCCAGGAATAAACCATAATCTATCACATAACTGAGATGAAGAACTTAAAATACATATTGCCGCAGCTGTATCAACAATGGTCCTGTGGAAGTGATAAGGGGTGACGATGTTTTCATATATGCATTCTTACATTGCATACATATATTCACATTGCTCTCTGTATATAAAGCCATATATATATATAAAATAGCTATTATGTATGTGTTCTCTACATAATAGCTATATATATGTATATAATAGCTATATTTATATAAGATAACAAATATATATATTTGTTCATGTGAGAGAAGGGTTTGAATATTACTTACATTAATACACTTCCAGAACAGAGCTCAATGTCTGAGGTATAGAGGTATAGTAGGGAGGCAAAAATGTTTGAATTAGTGAATGAATGAATGAAACCTTATCCCTCCTCAAGAAAACTTTCAACTGGGTCAAGATCTCCCCTTCTGTAAAAAGCAAGTCAATAAAAGGAAACTATGTAACTTTTCTTTCTTCAGGCTTTGATGTAAGGAATCTATCACGCAAAGTAGTCTTGACTTTTGTCATTTTTTAAAATTTTGTCCCTTAGAAGACCTATCTTGTAACGAATTGGCACTTTACTATTCCATATGGGACATCCAGTATTCATCCACATCATATTAGAACTGCACCCAAGTATCAAGCAAAAAGAGTATATTTTATCTTTTGAATGCTATAGCAAACTGTAGACATATTTTAAAAATTGCCTTGAATTTTTTTCTATTTGGAGGAGTTTAAAATACCTTGCATAATCTGTTTTATTTGTATTTTTAAAGAAAAAAAATCTTATGCAACCAACTTAAGTAAACAAATATAAGTTGCTGTCAGAAATAAAGCTTAATAACTAAACTTTCACATAAAAATCATTTAGAAATTCTGAGAAATTATTAATATAATCTTTAAAATACAGGAGTCTGGAACAGACTCTTAGAATAGCTAGTTAATTTTCTTCTATTTGCTTGGGACAATGACCTAATAAGATAGTTAATCATCATTGGACTGATGAAAAAAGCCAACTAACTATTTAAAGAGAGACTTTAACAGCAGATAAAGGGAAGGACTTGTGGCTGTTGCTGTAGGATTCAAAGTCCAGGTAAGAACATTTGAGATTCTCTAACTTCAACATTTCTTCCATGTGAGAAACTTTCACAAATTTCAAGGAAAAAAAATGTTTTGATGGACATGATAAATATTACACATTTTATGCTTTATGACTTATGCAGTTATCTTTTAAGCTCTTAAAACTTATTAAATATCCCTATTAGAGACAGGTGAGCCTCAGGTTTATATATTCTTAAAGATAAAATACAGAAAATCAGACATTTATAATTTAAAAATAAAGTTTGAAATCTTGTTTCTGTTACTTTCTAGACAAGTGGAACTTCAAGTCTAAAAAATGAACCTTTGGTTACCTTCTAAAAATACTCTACAAGGCAATTATTTTCACTATGTACATAGAATTATTAGACTTGCTCCCTATTTCTTTGATCCCATCTTAACCGGATAATCTTAAGCACAAAGTTAGTTGGCAAACATCAGGAAATGGGATGTGTCTCAAAGTTACTTTCCTTGTTTCAACTCAAGTTTGACTCAAGGTGAGGGAAAAAAAAGAAATTTTCTAGATAATTTTATCTCTGATTAAATGAGAAAAAAAAAATCTGCTCAGCATGGTGCCTAGCACAAACTAAGGACTCAATAAATATTAATTCCCTTCTCTAATTCAGGAAGGTGGCTACCCTTATAAGATAATTATTATTGTCCCAGTAAGGTGGAAGATGGGGGAAGTCCCCTCGTAAAAGGTCTCAGAGGTTAGTAATGCTGTTTTCCCTTTTGTTCTTCTCAGTTCCATAGGTACATGGTAGAAACCGAATCGCGTGGCTTGCACTGCTTTTCTATGATCCCTCCAATAGAAAAAGCTTGACACAGATAAGCTGAGGCTGGTGAGATTCTGCCCTCCATTCCCCACCCATCAAACTACGCGGAACAGGGCTGTTCTATTCAGGGAAGAGTTGCAATACCACATCTGAACGCCGGTGGTCCTATCTTATACACATATTGTGTCCCCAAAATTCATTCATATGTCAGTTGTTTGGAACTCTGAGAAAAAAAATATGTCCAGAAAAAAATATGGTAAATGTCTCCAACTAAGGCTTAAAATGTCATGATGAAGTGGAAAGTGTGGTGTTTAGAGTCAAATCTAAATTGATATTCCCACTTTCTAATTACTTTGCAGTTACTTGTCACAATTTAACCTTTCTCAGAAATGAAGGAAAATGTGCCTACATTTCCAACTTTTTTTCTGGATATTTTTTCCCAATATTTAAGAGAGAGGTGTGGAATAGTAGTTAGTTTGGGAAAGCAGTGGAAATACAAGGAAAAGTAACGGCTATGTTACAAGGTATATTATTCTCCAGTGGAGCGGCAGTGTGGGAGAGGTTATCTCAAGTGGGACTAACTGGGAAAATATCTAAAAGGGTCATTTAGGGCAGAATTACAACCAAGAGATGAGGAAGAACACTACAGCTTGAGAAGAAACATATAAGGCAGAGAGTTTTCTTCTGGGGACAGTGGTTCCATATGGCTGAAGGTGCTTATGGGTGTATTGGGAAATGAGACTGAAAACAAGGACAGGGTTTAGTTTGTAAAAACTCTCAAATAAGAAGTGTGAATTTTATTTTGTATGGTACAAGGGACCTCTGAAAGATTCTGAGGATGGATGTGATATGCATAGGAAAGGGAGAAGCCTGGGAGACAGGATAATGAGAATTTACTCAATTGCAATAAACAAGGTTAGGAGTGGTGAGATAATAGCCTTCAAGAATATTTGTTCAGTAGCCAAAACTGAAAAAATACTAAAGCTAAAGAGGGAATATCCACCTTGCAAATAATTCAGAGATATGGTAAAAATTGGGAAGTGGTAAAAAAATGATTTCCTAATGTTTAAATCCTGGGGAAAGATACAGAAAGAGATATTAATGGAAAAAATGATAAGAAATTTATCGAAGAACTGCTTATGACTTTGGGACCACCAAACTACTGATTTTCTCCTCACTCCACTCTATCCAGTAACTGAACCTGCCCAGGTACAGGCATGTGTGGAGCACATGCCAAAGTGGAATGACTGGATTCACTTAGATGTACACAGGTATGGGTTTCTGCACACACACATATGTTTATATACACTCCGTATACACCAGTGATAAGATCCTCAGACATTTATCATTTCTATATTTACATATTATCCATTAAATATGCATTATATATATATATTCAGGGTCTTTATATATTTATAATATAGGGAATCAATAAGTCCTTATTGACTAAATTAATGAATAAAATATACAGTTGATCCTCATTATTTGTGGATTCTGTATTTGTGACTTTGTGTACTCATTAAAAATTATTGTAACCCCAAAATCAATGCAGCTGCTCTTTCATGGTCATTGCATACCTGCACAGAGTGGCAAAAAATTTGAGTTGTCAGACACATATGTTCCCAGCTGAGGTTAAACAAGACGTGGCTCTGTCTTCTTGTTTCAGCTGTTATATTGTAAACAAGAGATGTTTTCATAGTCTATTTAGTGCCATATTTTTTTCATTTTTGTGCTTTTTTTATTTGGTGTTAAAATGGCTCCCAAGCATAGTGCTGAAGTGTTGGCCAGTGTTCCAAGGTCCAAGAAGACTGTGATGTGCCTGATGGAAAAGAAATATGAGTTACATAAGCTTCCCTCAGGCATGAACTATAGAGTGCTGTTGGCTGCAAATTCAATGTTAATGGATCAAAAATATAAATTAAACAAGATGTCTTTAAAGAGAGGCACACATAAAACAATACAAAGCATTGATCAGTTGAGGAAAATGTTGTGACCAGAGGCTCACAGGAACCTAACCCTGTATATCCCCTAGCAGCAATGTTCAGTATTTACTAATTCAGTGTTTGCAATTACTTTATAGAACATAACTACCACAAATAATGAGACTCAACTATGCATATAATATATATTAAATATATTGAATAATTATTGCCCAATTAATAATCATACATCTATGCTTACATGTATGTCTGTATATAAATAGATATTTTAGATACATAAATATGTTTTATGCTCATATGTATAGACAAGAATACATTTTCTAAACCTCAGCAAAGAACCCACTATTCTACATAAAAGAGCAAAGCTAAGGACCAAGTTGACTTATTTTACTAGTCTTTAAAATAAGGGCTTAATAACTTTCAAAATTGTAATTCTTCTTGCACTTTGACTTCAAAACTCCCCTTGTAGGAATTTATTCTACAGATATAGTCACACTTAAATAAAATGACATATTAAGAAAATTTTCTAACGTGAAATAATTAGATACAACACAAACGTTTATCAACCTGGAACTAGTTAGATGTGTTATGGACAATGGAATACCTCACAATCATGAGAAAACTGAGGTGACCGTTTATTAATATAAAGTGAAGTATACAAAGCAGGGCAAAAAGGTAGAGAACAATGTTAGTGGTGTGCTGCCAGTTGTGTTAAAAAATGAAAATACTATGTATTTAATTAAAAATGCATATCATATTTCTGGATAAGATTCACTAAAGGCTGATAATATTAGCCCTCAGAAAGAGAAACCGGATGCTGGGGAGATAAGACTTAGAGGAAGAGTGTTTACTATACGTCTTTTTGATCCTTTGTACTTTCAACTGCATGCATGTATTTTCTTTTCAAAAATAAATGAACAAAATTAAAATAAAGCAGGATCATGACTATGGTAAAGTCAAGCATGGCCAAAGTCTCCCTGAGAGGTACTTGGAGTACACTTTGTTATTATTATTATTTTTTTTTTGTGAGGAAGATCAGCCCTGAGCTAACATCCATGCCAATCCTCCTCTTTTTGCTGAGGAAGACTGGCCCTGGGCTAACATCTGTGCCCATCTTCCTCCACTTTATATGGGACGCCGCCACAGCATGGCCTGACAAGCAGTGCCTCGGTGTGCACCCAAGATCCGAACCCCAGGCCACCAGCAGTGGAGCATGTGCACTTAACTGCTATGCCACGGGGCCGGCCCCCACTTTGTTCTTTTTAACAAATTCAAACTCCACCTGCTTTTTGAGCCTGGTTCCAGAGGTATCTCCTCCATGAAACTGTCTTAGACCACTCTAATTACAATTCATTACATTATTTTTCTACCTATTTTCACTATCTACTATGTGCAAGGCACTGTGTGGCACTTTGCAAAACTGTAAAGATAAATTAAACATATATTTACCTTCCTAAATCTTATAATGTACATACATAGAAAATATTTTAAAAATTTATTTCTATAATTTACAATTTTTGTTCATCTTATCTAGTGTGTGATTCTATATTATCATATTTATTTGCTGTTTTGAATTTCTTTCCATAAATTTATCATCCTAACTAAATTATAATCTCCCTAAAGCTAGGGCTCTGTGTGTGTATGTTTTTTCTCCTCCTTTTGATTTCAGCGTTTACTGAGCCCAGTGCTCAGGACATAGTAGGCCCTGAATGAATATTAATGGATTTATTGATTGATTGACGTTGACTTTGTGGCTTTTCTTACTTCTGAATTGTATATTGTTAAAGTGAAATAAATTATACTTTTTTCTCCCTGAATAGGTGACGATTTTGAATAAAACATTGGAGACAAGTGAAAACCTTCACATGATATTTGTAGTTCAATGATGGACCAAAATCAACATTTGAATAATTCAGCAGAGGCACAACATTTAAAGAAAAGAAAAACTAGATGCTGCAATGGATTTAAGGTAGAATGAGTTTCATGTTTCCAAGCTAAGTAATTTGATGTAAAAAAAGGCAAGTGGTTGTCAAAAAGAATATTATATTTCAAATTACAGTTTTCAACTGAAGTGTACATATTAACAGAATTATCTATAAAGTGATATAAATCAGCCTTTAAATCTGAAGAAGGCATTTCTTTGGTGATAATTCTGATAGTTAAGAGTTTATTAATGTTGAAAACTTACAAATATTTTGATATTGTCTTTTTGGTTCTCAATGGACCAAAAGATATTTATAAATGTGATTAAAATAAGAGAAGTTGCTGTGTAATGGATTATATGCCAAAAATATTCTTACAATTGACCTATTGTTACTACAAAAACTAGAGTTCTCTTGCCCGATGTGTATAAACAAGCCAATTAATTAAGGCATCGGCTTTTGCGAAAAGAAATCAGCTCTATTCTGTAAGATTGATCTGCAGGGAGACAAGGTATGTGTGCCTTCAGATCTATCACCCTGATTCAGGATTGGAGGGTGAAATTTAAGAGGTTAGGGAGAACAGGCTGGCACACAGAAACATGGTGGGACAGGTTTTGATTGGTGGGCTTCAAGCATTTATGGTAATGTTTTAAACATTTATGATGAGGTTCTAAACATTTATGGTAAGGTGGAGAGGGAATTTTAAAACCAGATCTTCCTGAATGACGGACCCCTCCTTTCTGATAAGAGTCCAAGTTTTAAATTCCAGTCATGTCCCAGTTCTTTGGTTCCATGGGGAGGAGAATCTTTGATTCCCTGGTCATTTCAGGTCAAGAGTTCTTCTGAGCATGCTCTAGCTCTGTGACTTCACCCATTTTCTGAAAGATAATTTCTTAATGACTCTGTTGATAAGTTGGGGTCAGGCGAACTGGTCCTGGAGGACCTATGGTTACAAATCCCTTCCTTTGTTGTTCATTCCTCAATCTTGAGGGATATAGGGGGATGACCACTCTAGCTTCTTCTTTCTAATAAGGGGCATAGGTTGTTCCATCTCATTGAAACAGTTTCTCAGTAAGACGGCGATGCAGGTGGGCTACCAAGGTTAGGCCTATATTGTGTAAACAAGTAACCAGGTATTTAATAAGAAGCCTTTCTAAAGAAACAAAAAGAAAAAGTAAGTTAATGGTTGGAGCAAATTATAAAACAGTTTCTGAGCCCGGGGGGCAGCCAGTCAAGAAGATTTGTAGATGGCAGGGTCAAAGCATCTTTTGCAGTTTGAAACATCTCTGCTGATGTCATTGGGTGTTCAGGAATCTTTCTGAGTGGCTTACACAGCAACAGGCATGAATTTCTCTTAAGTTTATCTCAAGCTGTCCAGCTTCAGTTAGCAGGACTTCAGGAAAAAGGGTGGTTTCAGTCCTCTTTGCTTCCAAATGAAAATGATGGAAAAAATTGAAAACGTTAGTTTGGAGATTTGTAGCCAGATGTTTCAGGAGACCAGAAGAAGTCAGAGTCCAGTCCAGCTTACAAATAGAAAACAAAAACCTGACAGACAATTAACAGAAATAGAATCTATTATCCATGAATGTGTACTATAGTTTTTGTTGAAACATAATTTTTCTCTATAAAATCACCCTCATTTTTACCTAAGATAGCCAAATTCAGACTCACTGGTTTGCAAAATAAGTGTAGTTTCAATAAACTTGGCCCAATTATTTACATAAGTACAGCAAGAATAGCAATTGATCACATAGGCTCTTTCAAATCTGCTTTGCTGGAACTTTGTATAAGGAATCTCAGATTGAACTTCCAAGGCCTCTTGAGGCCAGGAAAGCCAAGACAAGGACTTGTCATCAGACTCTACCTGCAATATCTATAGATTTGGGTGGATTCTTCTCTTCTCTTGAGGTTCCCCCAAATATCCGGAGGTCCTTTGTACCAGCCAGGGAAGTGACATTCTTTACTCACCTGGTAAGGTTGATGAGAACCCTGTATGCAAGGTACTGGGTCAATATTTCCAAGGGGCTTCATTCCATAAAGTCCAATCTTTGTTCCTCAAAGCTGTCTGGTCCTCTGAGTCTATGCCTGTTTCTCTCAAATATGACACTCCAGTTAAAGCTTTGGTAATATAATCCAATGTTTCCAATTTTGTCCTGCTATAAGGAGATCAGATTCTTATTGAACTTATGCAAATAACTATATTACCATGAAAATAAAAATATTTACTCACTAAGAGTTTCTAAATTCTGGAAAGCTCAGGTAGGGAGAAAAAGATAAAGGTTTTAATTCTGTCTACAAAGCTATAATTTACCAAATTGTTGTAAGCATAGTTAGACTTTAAGAGAAAAGGGTTTCTTTAAATCTGGAAAAACAGTACATTAAAAAATAAGCAATATTTCAAAGAAAAAGTCATAAAAATTTTAATCATCCTCATCAGTTCATTCAGTTTCATGTAACCAACTCTTGATCTTGATCTTTTTTTAGCAGTTTCATGAAGTCATCAGTTTCTCTGTTAGAGTTCTGTAATTTCTTACCCAGTTCAGTTTTATGATCTGAAAGTTTATCAGAAACCTGTATTCTAAAGTAAGTGTCAGAGTCCTTTCTGTGAATATCTCTGAAAATGAAACATTTGCAAGAGCATCAGAGTAAAACAATAACTATCTGTAAATGACAAAAGACTCAAAATGGGAATTGACAAAGAAACTTGGTTATGTCTGCAACATACAACACTTTAAGATAATAACTAGAATCATGGCTGACAACCAGGACAGATCAGAATTTTAATAATGTTATATAATTTTCAAAACACTTATATCAATAACATTTACCCACATAACATAATCTAAGGTTTATCATCGCTTATTTGGTAATGCTTCCCATATAATTTAAGATACCAAATAAGCCTAATAAGTTTAGTATCTTTCTCTTTGTAGGAAGAGAGAACAAATTTCTTTGGGTAGTCCCAGAGGCTCTTGGGAAATTCTCAGAGAAATTGTCAAGTCAAAAGAAAGACTTCATTTAGGATTTGAATTTTGAAGAGCTTGTCAAAAATATCAAAAGGTTTTAAAACACTTGGTCAAATAGGAAACAATGCTCACTGTGAAACAATGCTTAGCCAGCCATTTAACCAAAGTGACAACAGAAGATGCTGAGACAAAGAGAATTAAACAATTTTTTAAAAATCTTCATTTTCTTAATATAGAGACCTTAGCTTTTGGAATATAGGAAATTATTTTGACAAAACATAGAATTTCTTTTAGGTAGACTTACTCAAAGGCAAAGAAAAAACTTTTATAATCTCTTTATCAAGAGCAGACTAGAACTTCAGGAAAATTATCTCAAAAGAGACAGAAAACCAAATTCTAATTTTGGCACCTGCTTACTTTTTATACTAAAATGTAATATAATTTGCTTAATAATATTGCTTAAAAAATTTGCTTAATTAAATTCATTTTAATCTTAGCCAACTTGACCATGCACAGAATTCTTTGCTCAGTGTTCCTCTTCCACAAACCATCTATGACATTCTTTTTACATTCAGAATTTGTCTAATGCCTTCTTTCTTCCCTCTTAGTGCTTTAGGACAAATTTACCTTTCTTAACGAAACAAGAATGTTCCCATTCTTTATACCTTCTTTCCTGAAAACATACATCTTACTTTCCTTGAATACAAAGATGTTTCTCTTATTAATTTTTAGTAGCTTTAATCACATATGTTAATTAGGATTCTTAACCCTTACAAACCTTTATTTTTAGTGAAAATTAAGAAGTAAGTGATTATAAACTGCCTCTTACAAATTGGAATTCTGTGACTTGGCAAATGTATAAATACTTTTCATAATTTGTAGAAACATGCTACTTCATAGTACAATCTTTTTGTTTTTTAAACAGTTTTTACTTATTTTTTTATTTATTTATTTTTTTATTTATTTATTTTTTTGTGAGGAAGGTCAGCCCTGAGCTAACTTCCATGCTAATCCTCCTCTTTTTGCTGAGGAAGACCGGCTCTGAGCTAACATCTATTGCCAATCCACCTCCTTTCTTTTTTTTTTTTTCCCCCAAAGTCCCAGTAGATAGTTGTATGTCGTAGCTGCACATCCTTCTAGTTGCTGTATGTGGGACGCGGCCTCAGCATGGCCGGAGAAGCGGAGCATTGGTGCGCGCCCGGGATCCGAACCCGGGCCGCCAGTAGCGGAGCGGGTGCACTTAACTGTTAAGCCATGGGGCTGGCCCCATAGTACAATCTTTTAATAAAATACGAGACATTTACTAATGGACTCAAACTTATTTTAGTTTCTCTGTAATAAGAAGCCAAAAGTAGATAAACCTATTTCTAATATTTTTTGAAGTTATTTTAAATGCACATGCCATAAAATATAATTACTGTTAAGAGTTTACCCATAAACTCTTATCTCACTTATGTCTATACCATTTGTTTGTAACAATCACATTTAGATTACTCACAAAAACATTATGTGACACTAAAGCAGTTAGTCATCATCTTAAGCTTTTTTAAGTACCTATATCATAACATAAAATCATTGCTAAAAAGTTTCCCTCCAAATTTTTACTTTTTTCACATTTATTTATTATATCTGTTTCCAATAATTGTTTAGATTGCCTATAAGGACTTTATGAGACATTAGACAAAATAAGCTATTTTTTAAGTTATTATTCTTGCTGACAATGTCTACAACAGAGACAACATAAGTTTATTTTACTCATGTTATCTCTGTTGCAAAACCCACCAGCAAGAAGTGGTAAAGACTGTATGTTTACATCATATCCAATGCTGATAACTCTGAGGACATGTCCCTTTTAATCAAACCAACAATCTTAAATAAGCTTTTATTTACCAAAGATTACTTTATATCATGTTAGCTTGAAAAACATTTCGATTAATTTCCATTACATCTATAAATAATTTATGTAAGTGCTTACTTTAAGCCAACTGAAGAGAGATCTTT